GTATTTCAGTATGTGGAGTCAGATTTTGTTATCCTCTGGAAAATGGTTTAAAGGATATTTTAAATATTATACAATTTAAGAAGATATAGTATATAGGTCAAACTATGAGCTAAAATGATATGAAGCTAATATTTATGTTCAGTAGGTTGTTATTGATTATGTTTGTTTTTCTGTGTGCAGGAAAAGTATCAATATTACCTCACTGTGTGTGAGTTAATATTTTGTGTTGGAGTAAAAAAGATCATGAATGAGCAATGTATCATTTAAAATGTCAGTAATTTTGTTTACATGCATTAGTGAATGATTTTAAATATTGTACCAACAAATCAAGTTGTTCGACTTCAGCAGGAAAACAAAAACTAACTTGTTAGTTGAAAATAAGAATCTAAAACCTTGACAGCAGCCTGTAGAGGGATTTAAATAAAATACAATGCTGTGTTTTTCGAGACTGGAAAAATAAGTTAATGCTTTTTTTAACATAATTTCTAAAATAAGTCATGATTAACAGCACTAAATAAACCACAACTCACTTTTTTATGTGAAAAGTCATGAACAACTTAAATACTGATTTCAGTGAGGGCACTGTACATATAGTTTTGGACAATAAACTGTTATTTTAACAACTTGATTTTATGTTTTCTTTATATTTTATTTATTTATCTGCATGTTGGTTGCGCTTTGTAGTCATGCCGCCATTTTAGCATTAATATCGATCAGACCGTATCGGTATTAATGGTCCTGATTGTATAAAATAATGATGACACAAAGGAAAGGGAAGTTAGGGAAGATAATACACTTATGCTGTTTTTAATAAAATACATTAGAGGTTATGACTAAATAGAAAAACGTAGGGATCAATCAATAAGTTGCTCAGTCAGGATTTAACGTGAACTTTAAGATAATGGATTTTTTTTAAAAAAACATTTATTTAAATAAACATCAAAGACTATCAGACGAACCTTGAATTCATACATACAGTATATAAAGACATGAAGCTTTTTGTGTTTTACAATAAATAAACTTAGGCTATTAAAAAAAATCTTCATTTACTTGCCGAGGCGCCATGTAAGCTCAGGAAAAGTAGGCCTAGATAAATCCAGGCTTTCATTGTGAGCTGTCGCATCTAAAGCTTTGATAAAATACCGAGTTTAATGTTTGTTTACTGACACAAACACACACCAACTTATCACCTCGAGCACCGGGGCTGAAGAGCGGGAAAGAAGAAGGAGGGGACTGATATCGACCTCCATCTGAGCCAATGGGAATTTAGGCTGAGCATCAATGTCACTATAACTCTGCTGAGCGTCACTTGTTACTCAGTAAAACTTTATGAAATAGGACCTGAATGAAAGTGAAAGTAAAGCGATGTTATTTCAGCCTGTGTAAAAGGATAGAGACATCAGACATGCGGGGCTTTATTCTGTTTTCTCCACTTTGTTCACATATGAAAGGAGTATTAAACCTTCTGCTGCTCACATCTTGTAGGTATTATATTTAGTTTCAGTACAGGCCTACACACTGGTCTTGGCTCACATTATTCCCACTATCAGCACACAAAATATAATGAAACACAAGATAGTTTCCATGACATGTCATGTCATATTTTACCACAGTGTTTGACTTTGAAATGAACACAAGAAGCAAAGAGATCAAGCCAAAGCAGAAAGAGAGTCAGAGAGCTTCTTAATCACAAACATCAGATCAGGTCAGCTCTGTCCGACAGGCTAAATGCTCCTGAACTGATTTGGAGCTGTGGACGCTGAAAAGTGCTCCAACAAGAGAAATGTAACACCTCTGTTGATGTTTGAACACCTGATGCTGTTTTTCATTTTGCTTGATCCTTTTACCTTCACAGAAAAGTCAGCAGTGTGACAGCGCCCCCTGTGCAAATGAACAGCCTCACTGCTCCCTGAAACCTAAACAAACACCTTTAACAAAGCTGACTTCAAGAAAAATCATGGGTGATGTCACCGTGGCTACGTCCATTACTTGAAACAGTCTATGGATCAAAATAGTCATTGTTATTAATCCTACTCACTACTGTAGTGAATTTAATAGTAGAAATAAACAATTCCTCATTTTTCTGGGGACCCCCAGGAACCCCCTCAAAGACACCTGGGACAGAACATCTCAAAGAAAAGTGACTAATAAACAGAAGCCATGAAAAAAGAGCTTTTTGGGAAATTTAAGAAAAAAGTGAATTAAAATAAATTCAAATAAACAGTTATATATAAATATTTGTTTAATGTCTTGATCTCCAACTGATGTTTTCTCTCGTTTATCTTTCTCAAGAGCCTTTTCCCTGGATTATTTTTTAAATTTGCAACACAGGGATTTCCGCTCAAATCTGGAGATTTGCCAATTAAATTATGGTCATTGTCAGAATGAAATACAAAGTCAGACATTGTACTCGTGTACTTGAGAACTTCTACAGTGGTTATAGTTTCTTTTAAACGGATATGTTTTTAACTTGAGACTTGAAAAATACCTTTGTTCATATGTCACACAGGTATATACATGACATTCTATATTATACATTACATCTCTATATTACTACAAACATTAGTACCATTACTTAATCATATTATATATTGGTCTGGTGTTTACTGTTAACAGAGTCTCATTGACTCTGCTAGCTTTAATCCCATCACTGCTGCTTTACCTTGTTTTTTGTTTTGGTTTGTTTGTTTGTTTTTTGGTCTCCAAACACTCTTGTATAGTTTTCTATAATCTTATTTTAGTTCCATGTACTTCTTATTTCTTTCTAATACTGTCTCTGTATATCTGTACAACTTCTGTCCCCGTGCAGCTGCAACAACTGAATTTCCCTGCTGGGTATCAAGAAAGGTTTTTATCTTATCTTTCCTCTTTATAACAGCTACAGGTCAGGGCTCACGTTCATTAAAGCTCTGTGAGAATAGTTAATACAGTATTCATAGGGCTGTTACATAAAATAGTATGTGTCCATTTACAAAAAGACTGAGACCTCTGGAATATCATTAGTTTTAATGAAGAACAAAACAAGAATAAAAAAGATGTCATTCATTGCTGTTCAATGTCTGCAAAAACAAAAAAGAAATCAACTGCCACATGTCACTGTGATATAAATGATTTTCTAAGTCATAATATGAATGCTAAGAAAGTTATTAATGGAAACATCCCACAGTTAGATTATTACTATCATTCCTGTGTGCTGTGCTCTTATTTTATGTATTATTTAAACATAACAACTACACAAAATTATCACAGTCACAAAAAGACAGAAATTTGGGAATCTTTGACACTTTATTGAAAAGCAAAACTTTATTTCCAAAAAACTAAGACAGAAAATGTCCTTTGTCCCCAAATATTAGCAGAAAATATTTACAAAAAGATTTCCATCAGCTCTCAGTTCCCTTTTCATCCCTCTTCTCAAAACACTACACACAAGTCTCTATATTTTGAACACTCTTTTCCAATACAAATCTCACTGTTTCCACATGGAACACACAACCAATCAAAGTGCTAAACACTCAAGTCTGTTGAGCAATATAAAATCAGAGCTTAAGGAATATAAAGGGCCAAAAGTAAGCTCCTGGTTTGGAGAACAATGGATGGATTTGAAGGGAGAGGTGTCCAGAGAGGCAGAGGAGTACAGGTGAGAGGAGGAGTAGGGAGAGGAGGGAGTGGGGAACAACCAGGAGGAGGAGGGCAAGGTTGAGCAGGAGGAGGACAAAGAGGAGGAGGAGGAGGGGGAGGAGGAGGCGGAAAAGGTCGACAAGGAGGAGGACAAGATGGGGGGAGAGGAGGCCAAGGCGGGGGGAGGAAGAGGAGGACAAAGAGGAAGAAGGAGAGCCACCATCTCAGATGAGATTTGGGCCATGATAATCGATCATGTCCTCAGCCATGGTTTGACGATGAGGGGGGCTGGTCTGAGGATCCAACCAAACCTCAGCCGCTTCACTGTGGCATCCATCATAAGGACATTCAGAAATGAGGATAGATAAGAAATACTACTCACTCGACTTTACTGTATGTAGTACTGCATACTGTATCAATACAGCACTCAATGATTACTGTAGAATATAGTTTTGTAAGTGGACCATTGTACTGTGCTGTAAACAAAGCATGTTCTACAGTATGGCACATACGTATGAGATTGGGAACTGCATTCCTACTTTGTCTATACAACACGTAATGTATGTTGCTGTATCTGTATCTTTTGCAGAAATGAAAGATTACCACAAGCAGGTGGGAGGGCACGTGTGTTCACGGCTCAGCAGGAGACTGCCATTGTGAACATGGTTGTGGAGAACAACGCTATCACCCTAAAACAAATCCAAAGAAAGATGATTGAAGACCAAGTGGTGTTCCAGACCATCAGCTCTGTCAGCCTCAGCACACTGGACCGTGTCCAATGCAGTACGCATGAAGCAAGTGTATAGGGTGCCCTTTGAAAGGAATTCGGCCAGGGTCAAGGAGCTGCGCCGTGACTATGTGCAAGTAAGTCCTATATCCAGCACTGACACATTACTGTATTGCACCTGTAATACTGTATGATGCAGTTACAGTGTTTCTTTACATTGTCTCGCACGATCATGTATTGACTGCTCTAGGTCCATGTCTGATACTGTCATGCTGTCTGTTTCAGAGAGTTCTGGGGCTAGATGCGGCCGCCGAGATCCATGAATTCCTCTACATTGACGAGGCAGGGTTCAACCTGGTGAAAAGAAGGCGTCGGGGAAGGAATCTAATCGGCCAGCCTGCCATTGTTGAGGTCCCTGGACAGCGTGGAGGTAACATCACCATGTGTGCGGCGATGAATCACCATGGTATCCTCCATTGCCATGCCACCTTCGGTACATTGCTCCTGGCATTCCTGGACACACTCCATAACCACCTCATCACACCTGACAACCAGTTCTTTGAGCCACAGTAGCTGGCTGGTAGTAGTAACTACAGTTTTCTGCTGTATTTCTCCCACCATACTCCCCCTTCCTGAACCCCATTGAGGAGTTCTTCTCCACATGGCGATGGAAGGTGTATGAGCTCAACCCCCAGCAGTGCGTCACGCTGCTCCAGGCAATGGAGGAGGCCTGTGACGATGTCCCAGCTGAGGCCTGCCAAGGTTTCATGCGACATTCAAGGCATTACTTTCCCCGCTGCCTGGCGAGGGAAAACACTGCCTGTGATGTGGATGAGGTCCTGTGGCCAGACAGGAACCAAAGGCACGATGTGGCACACCAGTAAATCTGTTTTGATGGTTGTGGCCGCATTTGTTTGATTTTGGATGAAAAAATAAAAAAAATTCTGTTACTGCAAATGTGTTGTTTTATATTTGAATGTACCACAAAACATACTGTAATACAGTATTTTACAAAATGGGCAAGTGTGACAGCATGAACATGCAAATGTATAATTCTGAGTGTTTTCCATTCAGACAGTAGTGTTTTCCATTTTGCACTGCAATGTTCAATTGGTGCTACAAGTGTCTACTCATATGATGGCTGTGTGTGTCATTTGAACACAAAGTTCCATTTTGAGAAGATGTTGAACTTGTTTTGAAGGCAGAGTGTTATTTTGCAAGACAAGTGTTGAGTTTAGCAGTTTGTGTGTGTGTTTTTGTGCTTTGTGTGTGTGTAGTTTTGAGAAAAGGAGGTCTTCCTCCAAAAAACGTGTTTCAGCAATAGAGAAAAACTGTAATCAGCCAAATAAGTATGGCATATTGCCTTTGACTAATATTATATTGATATGATGAACTTATACTGCGAGTCTCACAATGTGACTATTGCACAAGAACACATTGCGATGGTGATGCTCTAATGATATTGTGCAGCCCTAAATTGAATTGAATTCTATGATTCATCGTAGAAAAACAACCAGTTTTTGGATTGGATTTATGACCCCTGGACCATTTTTGCACTGCATAGGAGTGACCCCCATCAAGTTGTTGGAAGTAACTATGTAACTTCTACTTTAAGTACATTTTAAATGAACTACTTTTTACTTTTACTTGAGTAGATTTTTAGATGGGTAGCTTTACTTGTACTTAAGTAGAATTTCATCAAAGTAAAGTACATTTACTTGAGCAGAATTTTTCAGTACTTTTTCCACCT